TCTTGTAGAAATCGAAGTTACGTCTTTCATTCTGGATGTGCTGACACACATAACAGAAAATTCTGTCCTTCATTCATTCCAGCATCAGTTTGCAATTAAAGTGAGTTGTAGTATGTAAGCTACAATACACAATACAAGATGCAATTCATAATAGGGATGTCCCGATCCCATCAAAGTCATGAAATGTTGAGTATGTACTGATACCGAGTCCCGATCCAATCCAGTATTATTTTTAGATAATACAGTGCACAGTTTAAGTATATTAAAGTTACTCAGATCAATCCAGTGCTTGACAATTGAATAGCTCTGTATTGCAGTAATGCACTGTTTGTTTTACTTTCATATTCGAGTATAAAATAACAAACCCTCATCGTTGCAGCCTCTGTATTCTACTCAGTGATCTTTTGCGCAAATTACATATATTAATTACTCTTATTAGGTTTTTGTTCGCAGCACCTTTGTTGGACTTGCAGTGTGGTGTTGAGAGTGGTTGTGTATCTCTACTGCTCTCTCCCCTGAGCAGGAGGAGCTGCTCTCTAACACACACACACACACAGCCGTACGTGCTCCACTAGGTGAGCTACTGTGAGGTCCATGCATGGTTTTTGTGCATACACATTGTTTATACATCTGGCCCCAGCTCACAAGGAATATATGCAACTCTTTAGCTGTATTTGCTCCACTAGGAGCAGATAGTGTACAGAGTGTACTTTTTAACTAAAAACAGCAATATCGATATCAAAGATTATAGACACTTTAAATGTGACTGCAGAAATTTGTTGGCACACATAGTTGATTATTGTTGTTTTCCACTTATTTTTATGTGATTGGCAACATTGTTTTAATTTGAACTTTTTTCACACGTTTTATATGCTACAATGGATTTTTACTGCTATTTTATCTTCCTATGCATCAAAGGGTTTTTTTGTTTCCTGACACTATACAGGTTCTTCTTGGGGTATAAAGGAACAGAAAAAGTGCAGAAAAGACCAAAAACAGTCAGAGTCTATAAAATTATTAACACTGAAATTATGTGTGTAAAGATAAGTTGATATTTACCAAATGAAATCATCCTCTGAGCTTGTATAGTTTCTTGACAAAAAGGGTGTTGGAGAAGAATTGATGAGCTCCCTAAACCATGGATCACTCTCTGTTAAACATTTGTGACAGGCACAAAGACCTGAATTCTCAGGGCCGAGGTAATGTAAAGACATATCCCATGAATATCTAGATAACACACCAATGGCAGTGATACACAGTAGGTAAATGAGAACTTGGGTGTTGCCCAATCTGGGAACCATCTTGGCAGCGTTTTGAATGAAGAGCAGATTCTGTGGATACAAAATGTGATGAAACACACAGGTGAGTCAATATATGGAAAACGTGTTATGAACAACATTAAAAGAAATGACTGTCACTTTAATATGCAACCACTCCTAGTTTGGCAGGTGTTCTCAGGCAGTGGTAGATAAATATAGACAACACAATGAAAACATAAATGCCACCTGTTTGTTTGGCAGCCATCAGCATTTAAAAAATCTTCAAAGTAGTTGTCTGTATAGTGGAATAATATTTGAGACTTTGGTCAAACTGGTAATATGACTCTGCAGAGGATAATAAAGGAGTAACATAACAATGAAATAATACAAGGATTAAGTGATGCAGTGTATCAGGATACTTTTCTGTTCTCTGGACATATTTGTGTCCAAACTCAACATTGTATAGAATGTGTTTTTTCTATGGGAATAAAAGAAAAGGAAAAAAAGGAAACAGGAAATGCAATTTAATAAACCTTACAAGGAAATTATCTTTAGTTTAACTTTAGTTCCTGCTGCCATGCTGTACTACAAGCAAGAAACAAATCATAAAAAAACATAAGTAGTTTAAGAAGTAACATAAGGCACACTTTGAGACAAGAGCAAGAATATTTAATATTAATATTTGCTATTAGTAAATTAACATAAATGTTTTTTTTTTTAAAGCTTTCTTCTTACCTTCAGTAGTTTCTTGGATAAAAAATACATTACATAATACAATATTATGCCAGACAACAGCATAGAAAGAACTAAAGCCACAGTTACTGGCTGGGTTGAGTATCATTCATAGACAAAATCATTTGCACTTTGTATTTCAGCATTCATCCCATTAAAAAGCTACACTCTGTCACTGTATACCAAGTTATACATTTAATCTCACAATCAATTGAAATGTGTTTAAGATATAAATATAGGTATATATATTATCTTACCGAGAGAAAGGGGTGAGGCAACTGAGGAAGAGAATGCTGCCGTTGAACACCTGGTGTACTATTAAGATACAATCGTGGCACTGGCAGAACGGGAAAGGACGACAGTAGGTGTGTTTGGTTAAACAAAGTCACACAGTTGAATATTTATGGTCACTGGATGAGTTAACATCCTGTTTTTCTAGCATTATGGTTCCGTAGACTTGTGTTTTGTTGGCCCCTATAACTCAGTTAATTCAGTTGCCTTCAGTAATTTGTTTTATTTAATCTTTTTGGGGAAAATAAACCCAACTTTTGAACATTAAACAAATGTTACTGACTGTGTGTTAAGACTTTACTACTATTTTGATCTAATTAGGGCCCAAGCCAGTATCAACTAGAAGGTCCCTATTGTTTTTGCACGATTTCTTCTTATTATTATTTTTAGCCCCTTTGGCTGCATTTTTGACCCCCTGAACATATACGAAATGGAAATTTTATTTGGCAAAGTTGTCAGGCCTGGTGAAAAATTGGATATTCTTCGCGCCACAAATTGTCGAGTGAATTTGCAGCGTTTATCTCTTGGAGTTGTTTTGTTGTTTTTTGTTTTTGGTACATGCAGCATTCTAGTGTTTGCAGCATTTTGCCGTTTGCCCGTTTGTCACCACTAGTGTTTAATGTGTTACCTACTCCCTTACTGACAAACATGTCAGTTATTTTACAGCACTTCGCTGCATCTGTGGTCAGTGCTTTTAGCTTTTTAAGCCTCTCCCTCTCTGCTCCACCTTTCCTCTTGGGCTGTCGATGTCGCTCCATTTTTCAAGCATGTAGAACTACAGGTGAGGGAGGAGGGAGGAGGAGGGCGGGGGCGCAACTTGGTGTGTGTGTGTGTGTGTGCGCGTGCGCGTGCCTGCAGTGCTGTGACAGAGAGCCTCAGAAAAAGAGAGGAGGGGGTGTGTTTGTGCCCAACGTTGCTGTTCAGTCTGGAAGGAGCCCTGGTTTCCCTTTTCCGGCCACGGTGCTGCTACTCCTTCTTGGCCGCTGCACTGAATTGCTCTTTGTCTGGCCCCTGTGTCTGATATGTGAATTTTGTTTACCTTTTGGACAAAGCCAAAAGTTACCTACTGCAGCTTTAAGATTTGCATTTATATTTATTCATGGCCTAGCACTCTTCTTCTTCCTTGCCTTCACTGGTGCAGTTATTGGTGTTTGACTGCCACCAGATATCAGTAGGATAGCATTAAGCTGTTGGCACAATGTGTAATGTGAACTTACCTCATCACACATTTGCGTGCTGAGAGCCAAAGTCAGAAAGCCAGTGGATGGATAATTGCCCTTCTTTCCCAACCACATTTCATGAACATATTTCATGAAAGCTGGATTGAGGATCATCACCTGTTATGAATCAGACTTAAACTGACATTAATCTGACATTTATAAAACATTCCTTTCTCTATTAAATGCTCGATACAATACAAATCACTGGATGACTTGATACTCACCAAATCTTTGTTAGCTCTCCTCGCCTGGTTAGCACTGTTTTCCCTGTTGGAGGCAACATTAATTGTTAAATTTAGTAGAATGTAAACTGATTACCAAGTATTATTTGGTAAAAATGATGTGAGCCTACTTTACCTACTCCAAATTAATTCTAATGCTGCCCTTAGTGTAAAGAAGCAATTTTATTCTAACACATTTGTCACATCAACTTTATAAGGTGATAATATGTCAATGTTCCATTCACAGATTACATGCCGTGCGCACACATTAACAAAAAAACTATGGCAAGAAGTTTCTAAGTAAAAGTGTAAAGGGGTCAGGACCAGAGCCGTTTCTTGCTATATGCGGACTATGCGGCTGCATAGGGCCCCGCAGCCACCAGGGGGCCCCCAAACTGCAAGTTCAGCCTCATATTTTATTATATTTTGGAGAATTGAAAGTACCTGTCTTTATTTGCATGTATTGCATGCATTCATTATGCATTTATTTGCAAAGCATGTAAGTGTTCGTGGGGTAATCAGGTCAAAATCATGTGTGGGCTGGGCTGTCACGTGGTAAGTGAGCTAGCCTCAGATAAATGTGAGCTACCTCAGCTAACGGGCTATGATTGTTTGTTTGTATGTAAGTAAAGTCAGCTTCATCCAGAGTTTGCTTTACAAAAAGGCTCAAAGAAATGTGTCTCAAGCATAGACCTGTGCTACTATTTTATAAATAAAAACAATTATCAGACTGATTATTGTTACTTTTAGTAGTAGTAGCATAGCAGTGGATTATTCATATAGCAATATGAATTTTAAATTATCACTGTGCTATGAAATATTATCCAATTCTTTGCTCTATTGTATTTTTATTTACTGTGGTTTGGTTACTGGACAAATCTGCTGACTTAGTTGAATTCCCCTTGCCAAATTTATTAGAATATATGTTGTGACAATGTAGTTTACTAATTTGAACAAACCTGTACATTTAAAGTGTCCTGTACTGCATAGGACTGCTAGTTGTCCACTTTGTAATGCACTGCAAGATATATGCAAACATATTCCCTTTATATCATATGGTGCTCATCACTCATTTACCTTCATTTTTATTAATTAACTAGTATAATGTGGAGATAAACACAGAAAAAACTGGTAGATGCTTAAACAGGGACACTGTATATTGTAATGTTTAATATAAAAACAGATTCAGAATTTTTTGCATAGTGCAACACAGCTGCAGTTATATATGAATATTTGCTTCTGATTGCTTGGTAACCTAAAGAGCTTTGTCTTTGCAGGAGCAATTTTGAAATACTTTGGAGGTCCAGTTCAAGGAGAGCCAGGGGGACCTTCATCAGCTTCTGACCAGCAAGCAGCAAGACCATCAGCAACTTAAGCACGGAAGCAGAAGTTTTGAGGAGGAGAACGTGAGACTGTGATCATACAGACCCTGATCACAAAGTAGTGATGTTGTACAGTTATATATTGTTCATTTTAAACTACAACTACAATATTTAACTACATAACTAGTTTATTTATTTATTTTTTGTTGACAATAACATGGATGCTGGTCCATTATATACTTATTTATTTTAGTAAGTTTAGTTATTTATTTTTCACTGTTTTGGAATGGTGGGTTAAAGCTTTTTTATGTTATGCCACCTTGTTATGCCACCTCAAAGTTTACATTAAACATTTTTCAAGAACATACTGTATCTTTTGCATTTATTAATGTACTCTAGCCTGCTTTCCTCTTAAAATGTAACAGACTGCTGCATCGTCACAGAATATATGAAAAAGTTAGGAATCTCTACCTCAGAGTTTGAAAAAATAGGGGCCCCTAAATAGTATCTCGCATAGGGCCCCCAAACAGCTGGAAACGGCCCTGGTCAGGACCCCCACTAGAGGTGGACAAAGTATCACAGGGGGTTGCAAGGCCTTCTTTGTTTCAAGAGGTCTAAGAAAAATACACGGTAGGCCTATATCATCTCAGCATTTTGTTTATTTCTGTGACGAAAACTAAATGAAATTGTTATTTTTAATGTTTCAATTATTACTCAAGATCCTGAACACAAGCTATATTCAGAGCCTACAGTCTCTTCTAAACAACCTCATCCCACTTTAGAAAAGTATTGAGGTAATACAACAATGGCCAAGCATCAGGGAGAAGAAAATGTAGTCTATGAAGTATATACAATTGAAGAAAATACATAATACAGATGAAAATATCAGGAAAAATAAAATATTCACAGGAAATAATCTGATAGAACTTCCTCCACATTGCTTGTTTTACACAAATTTGCTGCAGTTATTGCATCCACTGTTTAGGTTCAATGTATAGTTTATCAGTCATGGGTCATTCACTCAATGATAGAAAAGGGGTCCCTTAATGAAAAAGGTTGGGTAATGCTTACTTAAGTAACAATACAATTACAGACTACAGGTACCCAAAAAATGACTTAATTACAGTAATGTGAGGTACTTTCAGCCCTGGTCTGAGGATAGACTTTTTCACAGCTGACTTAAAGTTGAATTCCACTAAAAGTTTTGTTTGATTGCATTCATTTCTCAGAGAAGAAACTATTGGCAACTGTAATGATCTCCCGAAACTACACTTTGTCTGCACAGTCTACTACAAAGCCTCCTTATAGATGTTACTTAAGCCCTATTCGCACAGGACAAGTATTACCTGGGGACCTCATGTGATTTAGTACTTAACCCACCACGTCTGTGTTTCGTGCGGTGCATTCGCACGGGATAAGCGAAGTCTGTGTTTTAACTCGAATTTACTGACATAATCCCCCGGATATGATGTCAAGGCTCTGTGTAACCTATGCGTAACAGTCTGTTACTGATCTGACGTTACCTTTGCTGGTACCGTCGGGCCCGCGGAGCACCGTGCACTCCTCTATGCTGCCGAACGGCTCGAACATCTTTCTCACATCAGTGTCCGTCTGCTGTTTTCCCAGCATGCCCACAAACATCAGAATGCTGTCAAAACTTTCATTTATAATTGCCAACGCAGCCTCCGTAATTCTCGACCGGGAAAAAGGCAGAAAAAGGCGCGGGAAACACAAAAAACCAAAAAAAAAAAAAAAAAACGACCCCAAATCACAGAGATGCATATTCGCACGGGACTAATATTATCACATGACCTCTGTGTTTGGCGAAATATGGTAGGTGATTTGCGGTGGGATTTTTACTTTACAAATTACGTACATGGCAGATTCGCACAGGATTAAGATCACAGACGACCTCTGCAATTATTACAAATTACATGAGGTCCCCAGGTAATACTAGTCTTGTGCGAAAGGGGCTAAAGTCACATTAATTTCACAGGACAACAAAATGTTAAGGTAATTTACACACCGTAACACACACACACACACACGCTCACACACACCGTAACACACATACACACACCTGAACGAAGCAGAAGAACAACATTAGCTTCTAAGGAGGCTTGATCACAGTTTGACTATTTCTAGCTCTATCTTTACCTCCAGTACATTTACATACAGCAGCACACAGACACCCCCCCAGCACGAAGCTTGATGATTCACGGCATAAACTTTGTGTGAATTTCTATAAAAAATAGCTGCAGGGGAGAATATGGACACATCTGCACCAGCTGGCTTAATAGATTAACCTCACCTTATAAGTTTCATGTTTATCTTGCACACATTTAACAAACATTAAACAAACAATAACTACGTTAGCATGTGCTAGCATTACATGAACAATGAAAAACAAAGCATCAATTCTTAAAAATACTTCCAGTTTCTTCCTCTGCCGTCTCTCCACAGACAGTTGGTACAATCCCTCTTCCAGGAACAGTCTTTCAGCCAGTCCACTGTTGTACTGACCGAGGTTGTGAAAACAGTCCAACACGAAATGGTTCACACACAAAACCAAAATTAAAAAAATTAAAAAAATATATAATTATGAACCTGAAAAGGGGAATAATATGTCTCCTTTAAGCATGTTTTTCGCTAGCCAATGTCTACAGGTCCAGGAAATATTCAAAACAAACGTGCTGCTTAGCCAAAAAGGAGCTCTGTGCATCTGCACTCGATTGCTCTTACCTTGACCCGTCTGTGACCTTAAAAGTGTAATCTAGTGTTAGAAATTGAGTTGAGATTACGACATTTGAATTTAGAGAACTGAATTTGAAAGTACATAAAAAGTTGAATTTTTAGTGAGGCTCAAATTCAGTTTCAAACTAATAAATTCAAATTCAAATTATGCTATTCAGATTCAGTTTTTCAATACAGTTATTCAAGTTTAACAATACAAATTCATATTATGCAATTCAAATTCCGTTTTCCGATGCAATTATTCAAGTTGAGCAATTCAGATTCAGTTTCTACTCACACAAAAATCAGCCCATACAAGACGACAGTGCTGCCGTTGGATAGCCATATACTGTCACCTGGGAGAACTTCCTGGAAGAGAGGACGGGGCATTTATGATAGTTACGGTAAGTGTGCGTGGCACACAAAGCAACACCAGGAGGTAGGTTATAAAATTGTGTGTGCACCTGTGTCCATTGGCACCATCCAACTTGCAAAAGGGCTGGGTGAAGATAAATATTGATCATATTTGAATGTGAATTCTAACGTATAGTTCTCCTCTTACATGGTCGCATAGTTCACCAAATGTTAATGTTACATAACAGCTTTCGCAGTGAAATATGTTTCAAGGATAAAACTTGAGATACTAATTTTGCTGAAAAGAAAGTGAGACCTCATAACTGACACTTTAATGAAGGTAAACACAGCGAACGGTTGTGTGTACACTGCACTCTGAATAGGAAACAGAGCAACCACATATTTTAATTTGGATCAAAGACTTTAAACTACACCACCTCTCCAAATGTCTTGGTTTTGTCTTTAATAAAAAATATTTTGGAGATTTTGGCTCATCCTGCATTAGGTTCTGTATTGAATAAAACGAAATTGTGTCCTGACATTGATTTGGGGTGGTTTAGACGTGAAGTGGAGAGGAGTCTGGTGTAGTGGGAAAATGCTTTCAGGGATAAGGTTTTGCGAACATGAAGCAAACTATATTATGGTGTTTTATTCTTCGTTTAATTGTACAGGCTTACAGTATAATATTTTATGTTCATCTTCATGTATTCACACTCACCCTAGTTAGGAGATGTGTTATTCAGTGTGCCATGAGCTAAGCACATTGCAAAGACAAAGGCTGTCTCTGGGAGAGTTGGGCATCAGATGTGTTATGACTACTGTTTATCAGACATTAGACATCAGTAATAGACATCCTTGGGAAAGAGGCTACACTCACATTTTCTTCGTTCAAGTCAGTTGATTCTCGAGACAACTCTGTTTGCTTGTATCCTGTGTTGATGCAAATAAATCTTGCACATGGAGTGAAACTGTCAATTCTCTTTGCTTTCTGTGAGTCTGTGTCACCATTCTGGGTACCTTCAGTGGGAGTTTGTGGTCTCTCACTCTAGTCAGATTGCTAAAAGTTTGAGTCAGATAGACATCAATTGAGGTGCATTGGGATGGAAAATTAAACCACAACACTGGGGTCAGCAATCACCTTCAAAAACATCAGTGGGGCTTCCCTGTCACCAGACTGGCCTCAATCGGACTTGCAGGCTGTTCACATTGTGCTCAGTTAGCTACACTACCCAGCTAGTTAACTAGCTAGCTGCATAGTTTAGCAACAATAAAGCAAATTAGATGTTCACCTATTGCCCATGATGCACAACTAATCCACATCTAAATTCAATATTTAATCAATAGTCAATGTCAGTCCATTGCTTTTCTTACATTACCATCTTACATTACAGAGTTGTAACTGAACCCATTTATTGTCTGGACTGTTCATTCAAAGCACACCTAAACAGACAGAATATCTGCAATGTCACAGATCAACTCTTGACAGTGTCAAATTGCTTTACAATGTCACAGATCAACTCTTGACAGTGTCAAATTGCTTTACAAGGTGATACAAAAATGATAAAAGTTAAAAGACGTACAAAAAACAAATATTTTTTTGTCTTTATGTCACACTGTAGTTTGACTATATTTAAAAGGTCCAGTTAGATTTAATAGTATATCTAGCGGTGTAGCTGCAGATCGTAACTCTGTCGCTTCACCCTCTCCTTCCAAGCGCAAAGAAGAAACTATGGTGGCCATGAAAAAACATGAACATCCCAGTATTGCTTAAGTTCTTCTCACAGGTAGGAATTCCTAGGGAGGTGCTAACTGACCAGGACCCTAACTTCATCAGTCACACGCTATCGCAGGTCTACCAGCTCTTAGGGATTAAGAGAAACAGTGTGCTCATTGGGATTTGGGATTGTGCATGTGCTGTGTGAGACATGGGAGGAGTCTGGCAAGGCACAGGACATTAACATCATCTCATATGTTCTGCAAATGTGGGAGCTGCTGATGATGTCCACAGCCATGACCAGAGAAAACGTCATCCAGTCTCAAATGCAGCAAAAGAAGTGGGATGATTAGTCAGCAAGGCACAGAAGCTTTGAGCCAGGTGAGGAGGTCTGGTTGCTTTTGCCAACATCAGAGCACAAACTGTTGGCAAAGTGGCATGGCCCGTACCAGATCAAGCAGGAGATGGGTGTTGTACCATACCAGATCCACATGCCTAAACAGAAACAGCTATACCAAACCTTCCATATCAACATGGAACTTGAGAAGCAATTGCACCTGGACCACCTGTGTGAGAAGAAGAGGATGGAGCTTCTCAAGATTTTGCCTCTCCACTTTTTCGTGGAGACCCATGGGTGCACAGAGGTGGTCCAGCACAACATTACAGCCTTTGACAGCCTGTCTACAGGATTCCAGGGCACCTGCAACCAGTACTGAAGAAAGAGCTGGAGATGATGAGGAAGATGGGTGTTATAGAACCTTCTTCCAGTGAATGGAGCACCCTGGTCATCTTAGTCCCCAAAAAGGACTGCACCTTGAGGTTCTGTTTGGACTTTAGAAAGGTAAATGGGGTCAGTAAACTGGACTTGTATCTGATGCCAAGACTTGATGACCTGGTTGAGAGAATAGGCGTTGCAGGGTACATCAGCAAGGGATATTGGCAGGTTCTTGTCATGGGGTTTATTTCAAACTCCTCAAAAACTCAGGCGTAGTCTGCAGGTATTGTTGGTGCAATTTATTGCTGGCCCCCTCAAGATGAAAAACAGTGCTAATATTTACTGAAAGTGGTCAAAAATGGAAAACTTGGAAAAGACTGTATTACGCCCTTGTTTGGCCAGCCAGTCTCCTAATGTGAGACAGCAGTGCAACTTTGCAGTGCTCTTCCATCACTAATGGTAAGTTATATATGTATGTATGGATAAATAAATGTAGAACTCCCAAGTGTGCACCCTTGGTTGCGCTGGGGAGAGAGAGACTCAGTACTTGGGTTTTGTGCTGGGGGATGGGGTACTGGCTCCACAAATGGCAAAGGTCATCAAGAACCATCAAGTTGGCTGAAGCCCAAAACATCTCCAAAACTGCAGCTCTTGTGGGGTGTTCGTGGTTTGCAGTGGTCAGTACCTATTAAAAGTGATCCAAGGAAGGAAAAGTGGTAAACCGGAGACAGGGTGTACATGGGTGACCGGGCGAGCCGCATTGTTTCCTTCTACGGACGAGTTGAAACCGTGTAGCCAATGAGCGCAGCTCAACCCGGCAGTACGTCACCTCTGCTGGCTCTGTCTAACCATCATGGCGACGGCCAAAACTCCAAACTTAAGGCTTCAGAACAGTACTCCACAAACTACATACTTGCCTAGTTGTTAAACATGAAGGTCGCCTGTCAGGGACAGGCAGCAAACCCTCCTTTCTTTAGCATGTTTTTTGTTTGGATATTTTATCCAACAGTTGATTTAATTAGCAATTTTCGCTAATATTGAAAGGTGCAATGCATACATGTAATGTGATAAAGAACAAGGCAAGTAATGGTGATAAAACATTCTATATATTGAGTTTAAGTTGAGTGGCACCTCTTCGCACTGCAGTGACTAAGAACTGCCAAACTTGAGCTGGTATTTTCCATCTGAATAAGTAGGGATTTTTTCTAAGGGAGAGATCAAATGGATCTAATTTGACTTAATCATTTTCTGGTTTGAATGAGTTGTCCTTGTTTTCTGTGCTGGCTGGTGATTCAGGCATGCTAATGGATGATATATTAGAACATAAAACCAATATAAGGAAATGTTGGCCAATGTGTGGGAACTGAAATCAGCACTGCACCCAACCTTTACATTTGTGCAGTTAACCTTTTTATGAAGACAAAACACAATGTAATACAGGACCGCTGAACTGACAGTCTTCTTCTATTTTTGATAATTTAATTTGGGTGTTGCCTATTTTAAACCCTTTATATGTCTATCTGTATTTTTAAAACTTTTTTCTTGCATTTTCTCCTCTGTCTGAGGTGCAATACAATACAACTGAATGCACTTATTATAACAAGCAGTAAGATCTTGAAATCAATTCTATAACTCACAGGTACCGGTACCAGTGATGGGCTTGCAATGATTAGTGTGAAGTGGTCCCTTCTCTTAGAAAGTGTAAAAAGCCTGGCAGCAGTGTTTTGTAGAAGTTGCAGTCTTTGCTGATAGCAGAATTAGGTGCTTTGCAAGTCTGAAGGAGATAGAAGCATGGATGACCAATTTGTAGATCTGCAGAGGAAAGTAAAGATCTGATTAGCTAGACAAAGCAGGGCTTCACCACTTTAGTCACCTGAGCATCATATGACAACTCAGAGTAAAAAGCAACACCTAGGTGGCAGGCCTCTTTTTTAACGTTATTAAATAAGGCACCCGGACTAGATAAGAAATTATTAATACTGCTAGAGCTGAGGCCAGAAGGGTTTATTATACCTTATTTAATATTTGAAGTCATTCAACTACAAGAAATGTTTGGATATCCTATTATTATCTTCAGTGAGGCAAGAGAGACTAAAGGATACACTGGACATTAATTTGCATCTGCATAGCAATTAATGAATTTTATGCCAACAAATGAATTCACTTTATTTATCTTCTGAAGCTGTCCCATAAATATCTGTAATACAACTTCATAGTCATTTGAAACACCATATGTGTAACCATATTTGAGGCAAAGTTCAAATCATTTAATTGCAGGTCAATTCAGTGTGCTTAACATTAAAATGTATACAGCAACAAGTAACACATACAGGAAATCCAAAAGTGCTCGGTACTTCCCTACTACAGTTTTATTTGAGGAAGAATGCATAGAGTTTTGAAACAACGTGTCTCATCAGGGAGAACAGTCTACAGTGGGTGTTGAGCCTGATAAATTATCATTATATAATGCATTTGCTTATATTTTAAAATGTAGGCTTATGTCATATGGTGTACGTGGCCTTGGTGTATATGAATATTCTATTTTTGCTTGTCAATGGAAAATTGCCCCAGATACCATATCAGATACTATTGAGATAAAGCAAAATGTTCACCATGACCCCAACCTTCCAACGTTTGTTATTCCATGTTAACAACTGATTTATGATTAAAATAAATACAATTTTATTATTGTAGTATTCTTCTATATATTCAAAAAGAAAATAACATTTGGCACAGATTTTTTTCTACTTCAGTTAACGGTACATTGCTGTGTATCAAAATTACAGAAGCACTCCACATAGTGTGTATCTATCAGTCAGTAGGATATCAAAATAACCTATTACTCCTTCGAAGTGAAATCTGCCTGGTAAACAAGCCCAGGAGGTTTTCATATGCAAACACTGAAAGATTAGGTGTGTCTGTTTGCTGAGGAAATACTTCATGTACTTCTACTATTGCCTTCCACAAAGCTTTTAAATGACTTTTTTTTAACATGGTCACACTGAAAAGATGTTTTGAGTTACAGATGTTATTAGGTCAATCTTATACAAGACAAAATAGGTATGTAGAAATGTCATCACATTAAGACAATTGATGGTCAATGCATTGTAACATGCTGCCATGTACTTCAATAGCAAGCTCTTTTTCATCTCTGACAAGCTCGACTATTGATGTTGCACATTGCATTGCAGCAGTGTCCATCAACATCACAAAATTACAATAAACAATAACAACAGAGAAAATTGCTCAGAACAGCTGTTACCCTTCATCTCCTTCAATGTAATTAATTTTCACTTAATAGTTTAGCAGTTTGAGTATCTTAAACAACCTCAACAGTTTTCAGTTCTTCACTTCACCTCTCCATAGATCACAGTTTTAGCCTACAAAGGGTTAATGTGTGCAGCAAAGGAGTCAGTCAGAGCAGAGTTGTCTATTGAGCTTTAAAGCCTAGGCTTCTTAGTCTTGTTTTGCTTTGTAAATGATCTGCTATCAAGGCTTGAATATGCTGGGAGAAAGATCACCACCCGGTATAAAACTTGAGTTTTTTTTGCTCAGCTAGCTTCTGGATAATTCCATACTCATGAGATCCCGGATGTACTCCAGTTTTTAACTTTTTGTTTTGGAGTTTTTCCCAGTAATGACTCCAGTTTCCATCTTTGTCTGCTCCATAACCGAACACGTCAACCTGGAAATACAAAAATCAACATATAATAACCAACCTAAGCTGTCATCGAAATGGCAGAAGAAAGTAAAACTTGGTTAGACCTCATTCAGTTGAGACTGTCCTCACCAGGATAACAGCAAGAGCCTAAAATATTTACCTTTCCCTGACAAGAGGTCACTGTCAACATGGCAAAAGTAAAGATAGACCTTTAACCATCTAGTTTTTGTGTCTAAACTCAGTCTACCATGACTATCACAATAGAGGTGTGTTTTGGAATGCAAAAAAAACAGCATTAATGCTGATTAAAACAGCTGCCCCTATTATTTATGTATAATTCTCATAAGTGGCAGCAGGTAGACGTGCACCAGCTTCCATGGAGACATAGCTCTGCGTCACTTCACGCCACTGTCCTATTTCCAGCACTACTGCACCTGAAAAAAGGCTCACCTCATGCTATCGCTTGTGTGTACAACAATGAATGAGGAGAGATTAGTCGTTGAGATAGAGTAATATCCAGTGCTATACGACCCACGATCCTGTCGTTATAAAGACAATAGCAAAAAACACATTGCCTGGCGAGCCATAGTTCTGGAGATTCTCTTCATGTGAGTTTAAATAGTGGTGTCCACCCATGATTATAAGCTGATGTGTTTTTTTATATGAAAAAATAAAATTATTGGCCTTCACATTTCAAAAGGTTCACATAAACATCTTATTTAATAAAAAATACAATTGTGTTCTTCTATATATTCAGAAAGAAAATAACTTTTGGCACAGATTTTAACCAATAAGAAAAATACTTTTAGTCTACTTCAGTTAACAGTGTATCAAAATGACAGAGGCACTTGTACACTCCACATAGTGTGTATCTATCTATGTCAGTAACTATGAAAATAATCTATCATTCCTTCAAAGTGACATCTGCCTGGTAAACAAGCCCAGGAGATTTTCATATAATATGTAAAAACTGAAAGATTAGGTGTCTGATGGCTGAGCAAATACTTCCATTATTTGCAACCACAACTTACCTCATCACAAATATGCAGGGCAAGAACCAAAGCCATAAAGCCAGTGGATGGATACCTGCCCTTCTTTTCCAGCCAGATGTCATAAACATACCTCATGAACGCTGGATTGAGCACCATCACCTGTTATGAATCAGAATGAGCCTTTAAACTATTACCTATTCAGCCAGTAGAGTCTGTTGTCAAATGTATTCAAAATAATACTCACCAAATCCTTGTTAGCTTTGATTTTTGATTTTACTGGCATATACGACCTGTTGAAAATACAATGAAGCATCAAACTCAACGTCCAAGGAACTACTTTACTAAAAAAATCCTTTCCCAGGATGGGTAAGGGTTAGACTTGTCAAAGAAATGTACTCAATTGAATTGCTATTAGGCACATTGATGAGCCTCATTTGTTCTCTTTACAAAGAATGTTTACATGTTTGGAGTTGTTGTCCTTCTTTATAGAGGTAGTCCAAAGCCTGCTACTACAGCTCCATACTGACTCCAGAAACAGATCAAACTCGTCTCACAATCAACCTTTGCTTGTATTTGCCAAGATGACTGAAAGATGAAGTCATGCTTAGCAACCTAACAACTTAAACAATTGGACAGAGTTGTAAGACTAGTAGTTTAAGTAGTGCTAGGTTTCATTTGTTTAATGGTGTCATGTGGCATCAGTCAAACAAAAGACGAACGAAGTAAACATCTTACTTAATGACTCAGCAGTATGGAGTCCAAACCTAAAACAAGCCCAACTTCTGAAAGGCAGACTGATATCTCAAACGAAATAGAATGAACACATGTGTCGGCCACTAGGTGGCGCTACTATCATGAAAAGTGTGTTTAGTCTAATAACTTCTGCATAGTTTGTCGCACATTCAAAAACCTTATATCCACGCATTCGGTGAATAGAGCGGCATCTCCCCATATAGGCCACACCCACTTCCGCCTAGAATTTTTCACGTAGCATCAGGGGACCGTCCTGGCAAAAAAAGTATTTTGAAGAATTTTGATATTTAAAAAAATAAGCAGTGGTGTGGCGCGACTGCGGCGGGCAACCACCGTGTAGGCCCTGAGGTGGGGAGATGGCGAGGTCCCGCCCAACGCTGCTTGCAGCTTTAATTATTAGGGATCGAGCACTGAAAGTGCAAGACCCTATTGTTCCTCTAGGAATTATTATTTTTCTGCCCCTTCTAACGCATATTTGACCCCCGCACCATGCTCAAAAAGTCATGAAAATTTGCACAAAATTCAAACGTAGCGAAAATACCGGTATGAGATTGTCCCTGTGCACGGGCGCTGCCAAACGGCTAAGCCACACCCCCCAGAATCAGCCCCCAAGACACGTAAGGCCCACATGTACGAAAATTGCTACGCATGTGTATGATGATAAAAGAAGCAGAAAAGTCTCAAGGACCCATACCTCAAACCCAACAGGAAGTCCGCCATTTTGGATTTTGCGGCCATTTTTGGCGATTTACACACGTTGTATTTGAACGAACTCCTCCTAGGGCATTTATCGGACTGACTTAAGATTTGGACACAGCCATCTAAACACATTCACTATTAAAAGTTGTGCTATTCACGTTATTCCGTTAAACTTCGTGGATGTGGCGTGGAGTCACGTGTCGTGCAATTTCAAACCTTCGCCATGAACGAGGGATTCGTCATAACTTCTGCGTACATGATCCGACTGCAACGAAACTTCACATGTTCGATAAGAGTCCCCCCTGAACACGTCTATGTGATAATATTCAGTAATAGTCAGAGCGCCACCTAGTGGCAACAGGAAGTATCACGTTTTATACTTTTATGTTCTACTCCTAGCAGGATGATCAGATCCAGCTGAAATTTACTTATAAAATGCAAAGCACATTGTTGATGATATGTGATGACTGCGGTGAGTGGGCGTGTCTGTGGCGTGGCGGGAAATTTTGATGTACCACAAAACACGAATTTGCTATAACTTGAGTGTACATTGTCCAATCGGCTCCAAACTTCACTTGCCTGATAAGAGTACCGCCTTGAACACTTCTATGTGATAATATTCAGTAATAGTGAGAGCGCTACCTAGTGGTGAAAGGAAATGTATTTTTTGTACTTTTATTTATATCTTCAAGCATATTGACCAGATCCAGCTGAAATTATGTGAGAAGTTCCTATGTGAGGAATACATATTATGAATCTTAAGAATTTGCATGGAACCATGTTGCCATGGCGACGCGGCAAAAATAAAAAAAAATCACACTTTTGGGGGGACTAAACATGCCTGAAAACTCATGAAACTTTGCACAGCATTCGGTGATTCTGGACGCCGAGGTATTGTCTTGGTCCCGTGGATGGGCGTCGCAAAATGGCTTAGCCACGCCCCCCCTACGCATGTGTATCATGAAAAAAGAAGCAGTATGGACCCATACCTCAAACCCAACAGGAAGTCGGCCATTTTGGATTTTGTGGCCATTTGCACACGTTGCATTTGAACTCCTCCTCCTAGGGCATTTATTGGACCGACTTCAGATTTGGACACAGCCATTAAAACCATTAAAAGTTGTGCTCTTCAGATTTTTTTGTCAAACCTCCTGCCCGTGGCGTGGTGTCCTGTGGCATCCAATTTCGATCCTTCGCCATAAAAAGAGGGATTCGTCATTAACTTCTGCATACATGATCCGACTGCAACGAAACTTCACATTTCTGATAAGAGTCCCGCCCTGAACACATAGTGATATCGCCACGTAGTGACAACAGGAAGTAAGTGCTGCGTGGCGATTTTGAGCTGATTTACGTGACATTTTCATGTTGTGGTACGCGCTTGTTACGACGGCACGTGACGTGGCCGCAGCACGCCCCGACGCACGCCGGGTGCAAGATCCCGTCCAACGCTGCTTGCAGCTTTAATTCCTATTGCTTTTTTCTGATAAATGGATTCCTTCTCGTATCATTAAATTCTAGGTGCAATCAATGATTAGTGTTCATAACTTTTACGTCCAGTTTAGAAAGGACTCATTTATTTACCCTAGTGAAATACTTCCAACATCTACAAGATGGATTGGCACCAAATTACCAGATTATTTATAGGCTACCACAAATATATTTTCTTTTTTACATTGGAGCAGGGACGGCTGGTATATATGGGCTAACAGGGCTAAGCCCCCCCTATCTTTTACAGTAAAGATGAAAAATTATTATTAAAAACCTTAGAACATATTGTTTTGAATTTTGGTAGAACCTAGAGCAGTAACAGCACCAAAATGTGACAGAAAAAACCCAGGATATATGATATATCTTGGGTTTTTTCCTGTGAATGGGCTAAATGTATAAGGCCCAAGCACAGTAGCGTAAGCTTCCATTCACTTTTGATTGACATGTGTCGTGACACGCCCCCTTCATATGCTGCCCATTTGGGCTAAAGTCATTCAGCCCCAGCCCAAAGGCTGACCTTTGACCAATCACAGCGCAGTAGCTACAGCACAGTGACCTTCGACCAATCACAGCGCAGTAGCTACAGCACAGTGACCTTTGACCAATCACAGCGCAGTAGCTACAGTACAGTGAGGCTAGTTCGTAGTGTGGCAGGCGTTGAACATGAACGAGGTGGATTTTTACTTTCTAATCAATTTTCAGTCTTTGGAGATAAAATTGGAAGTACATAGATTGGGAACACATCATTCAAACGATGTACAAATAACACAAAAGGACAAACGACAAAATCGTAATTTTGTGTCACGTGGTTTCAGCGAACGGACTGGCTAACGGCAAGTGTAGCTAGGAATTCACTTTTCTGTTTCTCATGTTTGCTGTTTGGAGGAGACACGGCTTGGACCCAACAAGGAATTGTGGATTTAAAATATTTATCCGACAAAATTAGGAAACGTAGCACGAGCCACATTGGAAATAGCGTAAAGTTGTCATTGCTGGGTAAAGTGAACATCGCCTGTTAGCTTAATGAGGGCCACCGCACTATCACGGATTGTGGACTGTATTACATTTTGTGGGGACACAAGCTTGCCCTGCGGGGGTCTAACGAATCTCCCACTTCACCCCAGCGGTCTCTCTTTTTCAGACAGTCAATTAGCCGATCAACTGTCAAACACACTGGTTGCAAAGTACACGTCTAAGACAACAGATTCTCTCAAAACGAGACACGGCCTGGATAATTTTTCGTGCTTCATATCTGAACTGTTGACCACAGATGACAATCAGCCACATCCAGATGCAGACACCGCTGCAGCCGCTGTAACACCGCTGTAACGCCGCGCAGGATGCGGGGCTCTGATAATGTGTCAGTAGCCGCACAGTGCGCTTTGAGAAAGCCATGCACTTTTTGCCTTTGCATGTGCACATTACCCAATGATCTGCAGGGAGAAACTGAAAGGTGAGCTGATGGTGAGGTACAAAAGTGGGGGGTTTGACATGGTGATTAACCTGTTTGCGTCACAGAAAGGCTGTTGATGAGAGCGGCGTTTTAAATAAGGTATGCTGAAGCTCTGAAACAACTCTCTCTTCTACAAATACTTAGAAACTGTGAACAAAATGCCAGACTGCAGATTACGGTGGCTCATTTTGGTGCCACTTACATGCCTGAGCTGTCCAATATTGCCCTTTGGTGCTCTGGTAACAGAAGAATCACCACACATGCGTTCGCTAATTAACATTTGCACTTGCTTTGATGGCAGCAGGCAGCCTACCGTTACCTAGTAGCTAGGCTACTAGAATCACAGCAAGAAGGCCTAAAGCTTTACAATCTGACACATCAAATTTGATGAAACATCTGAAAACACGTGGGATACTATTGGAGGAAGACTGGCATGACCCCATAGCAGGCACATCAGCCAACATTGTGGGCGTCCCTGGCCCTAGCAATGGGGAGACTATTGATCCCAACCCTGGCAATGTGGAAGCCATTGATGATGATGACGTAGCCTTTCCTATGGTTAGTAATATAGCAATGTATTGATTCAGGTACCATTTAGGCACCAGTACCATTTTAAAAGTATGGATTTAACACCGGTATCAGGGGAAAAAAGTTTAACAATATGGCTCTGATTCACGGTCAAGAATAAATATGTAACTTCTGGTTAGACTAATAACTTCCGGTTAGACTTCTGAAGTAAATCCTGCGTGGTTAAAGTTGTGAAACAGTCGCAGTTTGGTTAGATTTGGGCACCAAAACTACTTTCTTAGATTTAGGTATGAAAGGTATTTTGTTTGGATTAGCCACAACAGTGTCATATTTTGAAGTGGAGGGCCACGACTTGAGAGTGAGACATGGTCAATTTATTTATAATTAAAATACATTAGAGATCTACATACTGGGTCCAATGATCATATAGTATAGTTCATGAATTTGAAAAGTTTAAATAGGACTCACGTTCCAGAAAATCCTGTGGTGGTGGCCTTCATTAGCCACTCAAGATCCTGTATCTTGAATGGAAACAGCACAAGATGGGTGGTAGTATCTAAGTCCATGGCACTCTCTGGATACATGATATGATGAGTTGTTCTGCTCCCAACATCTGCTTCATAGCCTTTGGTACGACCAGTGTTCATTCTAAATAGTACAGATGGATATATTCTTATATGTCAGTCTCCTATGCATACATTCTTAGGGGACTGCTTGAATTTTTACTTTTCATTTTTGATGTTGAGGAAAAAATGTCCTTGTTTGTCCAAACACAGATGAAAAATAGGTTACGAACAAGGATTTACTGGAGCTGGAGGATTTACCTTATGATGACGTCATGGAAATCTATCAGACGTCCATAATGTGATCCATTCAAATTACCAGAATTCCCCACCACAGCACAAGTCCTGCAGCGGTCAGGGCTTTGTTCTATGAAATCTGGACTGGATGGGAATGTCTGAAACAGCTTGTCCACTGTTTGCTTGTAGAAACTGTAGCTGCGCCTTTCAGCCTGTAAGCCCTGAACATGCCAAACACAGACATTAAACCAGTTATGACTTGTTTTGGAAAACAAAGTTTGACAGTGATGAGAATGTTAGAGACTGTTTTCTTGCATGGTGACAACTTACCTTCCACCAGTTGAAAGCGTCCTCTGAGAGGTTGTGTTTTGCTGATAAAAATGGTTCAGCAGATTTGTTGGCACGCTGCAATAACCACTCATCTTCTACTAAACACGTGTCACAAGCACAGGGCTTTCTGTCCTGAAACTGGAGGAGATATCCTGAAACATGTCCTTTCAAAAACACACCAATGCCAGTGATACAGAGCAGGAAAATGAGAACCTTTGCTTTTGAATTCATCTTGGCAGTGTGATGATGAGACTGGGAAATGATCTGTGAAGTGTATGGTGAAATACACAAGTGAGTCTGGAGTCATGAATGAGGTGTGATTTCTTAATAAGCTATAATAATAGCTTGCTACATAAACTCATCTTTTTATCAGGCAAATACAGCTGCCAGTCTTTATCAAATGAACATCACAGTATGACTTATTTCTTTCATCAGTAATTAAAAAAACAAAAACTTTATTATAGACCTTTTTCACAGAAGCCATTTTGACATGCAATAGTCGGGTAAACACAGGTGTTACCAATTATACTAAATAAAGTTTCATCGTCTTTAATGTGGTAGAACCAGTTTCCAGTGAGCTGACATGTATAATAACAGCACCCTGACTCTGTTTGACCTGAATGGAACAAAACTGTAATTAGTATCATTGGTAACCTACTATTTCATGCCAAAATGACTGCTGTGAAAAAGATCATTTATCATTATCATTATTATTTGTATTTGTATTATTATGTTATTATTTATTTATTTTAGAATGATTATAATATATATTTTGGTCCTACCTGATCAGAGAGTAGGCTTATCCGCATCTACTCCAGTTAAACAGAGAGCGTCGGAGGGTGATGATGAGTTTCCAGTTAAGATCCGATTGATATGTTTTATAAATTCCAGGAAGAAGTATTTACAGAGGAGGATTGGTACATCTGTGGCGAAGGTGTGGAGAGGTGTGGCCTGGGCAAAGGTGTCCAAAATCCATACAAATGCTATGATGAAACATTTTCCGTGCAAATGTTCAGATATTTTCTCTCATTATGTGAATAATATATGCAGTCCTTGAAAGTTGCTGGTTTTGTTTACTGCTCTAGTCCCCCAAATTAAGAAAATCCGTTTTCTTCTGCTGCTACATCTCTAACAGTGCGTAAATGTGTAAATAACCACCAGTAAAATGATATATTTCCGTCTCTGTTTGGATCTAATTTATATGCGGTCCTCCTCTGCGTCCTCCTGCTCCACACTGTGGCGAAGACAATAAGAAGAGGGAAAAGAACATCAGCTCTATCTCCACCAGGTCTAATATACACGTACAATATACTATATCGGAGGTTGAATATGTTGTATGAGCTAATAAACTCACTCTTTCCATCAGATCCATCAGATCCATCCTGGCTAAACGTGTGCGTCATCCTCTCAGTCCGCATCGCTGTCCTCTGCCGACTCCGTGAGGAGCGACCAACCCAGACCTGCCCTTTAATTTGACTTTAGATATTGGTTTGAGGATATAAGCAAACTTACACCGGCCAATATTGTGCTGGAAGAAATAAATGAATGGCTATTATACAGCCTACTTTGTTAAAGAGTGGAGAGGAGAGAGGAAACATGTGCCTGCCTGCTGGAACCTAAATTAAATGTTGTCTGAACCAGCAAAGTATAGTCTATACAACCAATATGCAATATGCCTTTTTATGGCAGATGTGGCTTAATAACTGCAAGTTTTATGTGTGAGTGGGAGCTGAGCTCTGAGGGGTCTGAGCTCCCAGCAGTGAAATCATACATCTGTGGGCGTCGCCAATACAGTACTGACTACCAATATTTGAATTATTGACTGCTTCCCAAAAACCAGTGCATCCTCCCTCTAGTGGAGTGGAGTACCTGGCACCCACAGCCAGCAGTGTGCAATAATAATAATAATAATAATAATAATAATAATAATAATAATACTTTATTATTGTTATTTATTTATTTTTAATGTATTTGTAATTTTTATGATTTAGAATTTTTGCTTTTTGTAGCAGTATTAAGACAAGGAAGAATTTGTATTAACATTATTATTTTCACTTAATTCCTGTAGTAGTATCTTTAGTCATTTATGAGCCAGAATATACATAAAATCTCTGAAAATTAGGTTGTCACTTAAATTAATCAAAAAAGAATCACCAGTTAAAATGTATTAATATTGATTTTGTTTTGGTCCTACCTTATCAGAGAGTAATCCGCATCTGCTCCAGTTAAACAGAGAGCGTCGGAGGGTGATGATGAGTTTCCAGTTAAGATCCGATTGATATGTTTTATAAATTCCAGGAAGAAGTATTTACAGAGGAGGATTGGTACATCTGTGGCGAAGGTGTGGAGAGGTGAGGCCTGGGCAAAGGTGTCCAAAATCCATACAAATGCTATGATGAAACATTTTCTGCGCAAATGTTCAGATATTTTCTCTCATTATGTGAATAATATATGCAGTCCTTGAAAGTTGTTGGAACTTAAATTAAATGTTGTCTATACAAAAATTATAGTCTATACAACCAATATGCAATATCCTTTTTTATGGCAGATGTGGCTTAATAACCGCAAGTTTTTCAATTCAATTCAATTTTATTTGTATAGCGCCAATTCATAACAGAAGTTATCTCAGGACACTTTTCAAATAGAGCAAGGTCTAGACCGAACTCTTTAAAACATTAATTACAGAGACCCAACAGTACCACCATGAGCAAGCACTTGGCGACAAGGGCAAGGAAAAACTGCCTGTTAAAAGGCAGAAACCTAGGACAGATCCTCCGGCTCTAGGTGGGTGGTCGTCTGTCTCGACCAGTTGGGGTGAGAGAGAGAGAAAGAGAGACAGAGAGAGAGCGAGAGACAGACAGACAGACAGACAGACAGACAGACAGACAGGTGCACAGTAACAACAGTATTGGCAATGGCAATCTAGCAGGACCATGGCAGGAGGCTCCACCAGGATCGACAAGCTTTATCGAAGAGGAATGTCTTAAGCCTACTCTTGAATGTGGTGAGGGTGTCTGCCTCCAGAACCACAACTGGAAGCTGGTTCCACAGGAGAGGAGCTTGGTAGCTGAAGGCTCTGGCTCCTGTTCTACTTTTAGAGACTATAGGAACCAAGTTTTGACAAGTTATGTGTGAGTGGGAGCTGAGCTTTGAGGGGTCTGAGCTCCCAGCAGTGAAATCATACATCTGTGGGCGTCGCCAATACAGTACTGACTACCAATATTTGAATTATTGACTGCTTCCCAAAAAACCAGTGCATCCTCCCTCTAGTGGAGTGGAGTACCTGGCACCCACAGCCAGCACTGTGTAATAATAATAACAGCTGCTTTCATATGAAAGTGGCATGGCATTCTCCCTTTGTGTGATAGGTCTCGTTCGGCATATTATGAGACTTTGGTGAGGTCTGGCACACATTGACAGCATCACCATCATCATCAAATCAAACACGCAGGGCAATACAGACACATCAGAGTGGCTGTAGAGATTGTGGAGTATGTAAGAGAGTAAAACAATACAAATCACTCGGTATGTTCAGAGCTGGAGGAAGTGAACTCAACGGACACAGACCAGAATATCTCCTGACATTCCTCAGGTGCTTAAGAAACTCTTAATCCTCTTGAAAGTCCCCCTACCTACTTCTAACAGTTTTACACCTTAAGAGCTTTCTTAAGGAATATGATCCCTTGTGAACAGAACTAAGTAGTCTCAACTGTCAGTAGAAAACATCCTACTTCTAATAAATTTCTTCAGCCAGTTGAATGCTGATTGACAGGCTTCATACATTTCAGGAAGACGCCTTTTCAGAGTAGGATTGGCACATCAAGGCTTTTTTGCCCTCTTCTGTCATACGAATACTATATTTAGTCAGTAGCCTAATTGTATTCCAACTGGCACTTCAACTCAAACTTTTCCACTAGTTCATCCATTTCAAATTTGACTGGAAATTTTAAGCAGCGAGCACACACATTTTCTTCAGAAAATCTAGCCTTTTCTAGTTGTTATGTACATGAATTATGTGATAATGAGGATAAAAATAACAACAACTACGGTAAGTTCAAATTTTGGCTAGTAGCACTATAGTAGCAGTAATAGTTTGTTATAGTATATATCATACCATAAAGATTCTACGTAATGGCCAGCAGGGTGCAGCTCTATTGGCTGCAATAAAAGCCTGATAGCATGCAGTCCTATGCAGAAATGACCCTATTTCTCCCTTATATATATAGATATAGATATATTAGCTCAGTAAACAGTTTGTTGTCTCAATCTCTAGTTTCAAGTATTCTTCCATACAGCAAGATGTGTATTTAGTAAAAGCAAGGTATGCTTTAGGCCATTCTCAGTGAGTCCGTCCTGCGCAGCACAGGCAACTCCAATTCTTTTGATGTATTAAACCTCTTAAAACTCACAGGGTAGCGAGTTCTAAACAGCTTAGATTGCCCCACACAAATATAAATGTTTACACCTTTAGCAATATCATCGTTAGATCAGTTAGATTCTCCACGGTTAAAGAACCATAAGCACATATCATAATCAAATGAATGATTCATAATTGATATGTTATTCAAAAGCCTAAATTTTATACAAATAACTGCAACTGGTTTAAATAAACAATGTTATAGTATTTCCCATCTTTGCTGAGAGAGAGTTTTTTGCACCAATTAAAGGCCTCTCCCATATAGACACCTGTCCCAAATATAGGCAGGTTGAAGTCAGTGATTGATGCAAATACAATCCTGGGCTCTTAACTGAAGTTTATCAGTAGTTATACATGTACACATAGATTTGTCATCAGTCTTGAAATGAGGATCCGCTTGTGTCAGGAAAGGTGTCAAAAATGTTTGTGTCAAGGTTGTGATTGTGGAGCAATGCTGGAGAAACAATGGTATTCAGTATTTATGAAAACTTTACATTAAACCAGCAACATTCAACTTTCCTTTTGTGTTCATTCAGGTGGTTCCTTTGGACAAAGGCGGTTGTGTTTCCACTGTCCCGTTTCTCTGATTTCAAGGTGAATCCCACCGAATCTGACCCAGTGGCAGGCATTAGGAATCACTAGAAATAAGCAATCTTCTCGCTGATGGTCTCTTATGCTTATGTAGGTCAGACAGAGGCATCAGTATTAAATTGAGACTGTTTCATAACCAGCTAAAAACTCCTTGTAGTAGGTTTAAGTTAAGAGGGATGTATCCATTTTAGATGATAATTTTCTGTTAAATTATTGGTAAGGGTGAATATCTATCATCTATCTAAAATGAGACTGAACTGTAAAAATAAACTCTAATGCGGACATCTGGCTACAGAACCGATTCTTTGTTTCCACTGTGGTTTACTTCCTAATTTGTGGTTGTTAGGTTGCTTTACATGTAACAACATGAATTCAATTATAAATTCATCCTTTGCATTCGACCCATTCTGCTGTAACTATAAAGGAGCTGTTGGCAGCCACAGTGCAGTAAACCTGTGTGGTAGTGCAAATCCCATAGTCACGTACAGTAGGCTTTATTGTTCATGGAATGTGGGGCTGAGGAAGAAAGGAAATCTTTCAAATTATAATTATATACAAGGGGTGGCCAGAGGGTGGGCAAGGATTTTTGAGGGGGTCCATACACTAATAAAGGAAGTTATTGTGTTACTCCAACCTGGTCCCAAATGAACCCCCAATGAACCTTTTTTAGACCATTTTCATAACCAAGATGCATCTCTCTTCCTCTCTCTCACTCACTCTCTCTCAAACACACACACACACACACACACACACACACACAGAGAGAGAGTTTCATCAAGGGATGAGAGTGACTCCAATAGTGTCTCTCTCATCCCTTGATGAAGCTGTATAGTCAAAAGAAAACAGCCATTGAATATTATACACAAATGATCTATTGCTACAAGCTAAATCAAAATAAGGCTTAATCTATAAAAAATCACCCTTTGTTACAGTATGAGGCTAAACATTTCAATGTCTGAACTGGGCATGCAATTTACTGCTTCTGTACGCTCTGACCTGGTGGTGGTGGTGGTAGAGTAGGTCCTTGTGTCTGACCACACTGACTTGCCTGGCTAAGCCCAGGTTGGGAGCTACCAGGGCTGTTGATATTGGGACTGGGGTCTGTCTGGGCTTCATTTGTGCCTGATTTGCGCTTCTTTAAAAAAAAAAAGTCAGAAATATCTCCCTTTCTCTTCATTGTTATCTGTCCCTATACAAAATAAGACAGCCTGGTCACATCTCAAGATTGTGTCAGGCAGACTCTTGAACTATTTTTTCCCTTTCTCATGCTGTAGCTTACATTAAAATCAACGATCATCTAGACTAGTCGGCACTAACTAACTGGTTTTAGACCTTCACAATAGCAAACGTGCTTCATAGACATAGAGATAATCTCAGAGCATTCATTACAGTTTATTTTGAGTTCTGGTAGGAAATTCTTGCATTGATTTGAGTTGATTACATTTGAACTGAGTTGATTTAAGGTCTCCACATTTACTGAAAGCTAACTAATGGTATCACATTTTCCTTAAAACTAAACTAAAATTAGCTTTTAGCCTTTCATAACAACAGCTACCCTACTCGTGCAGTTGATCTAATGGGGACAAAATCTCTACTCCTCTAGCTTGTCAGCTTGTCAAAAGTGTGATAACTATGATTCACCTCGAAACTACATTAAAACTTACTTGAGAATGAGGTATTTCCTGAAAGTAGGTTCTGTTGATCTTGATGTTACTCTGCCATCAACACGCTTGCCTCTTCTTCCGTTTTTTTCCAAACACTCGTAGTGACCTGTCAATCAATTGGGGTGGCACCTAGGGTGTCCAGTCAGATTCCAGAGGGGTCCAGTACTACCCCGGCCACCCTTCTGGCTCCACTCCTGCTTTGTGGTACCCAGTGGGATAAAAACAATAATAACAAACTGGGAATTCATGGGAATTGAATGTGAAATATATTATCGGAGAATCAGCGGCAATAAAAGAAATCGATCAGGGCACTTGATAAAAAATAGGGAAAAGACAGCTTTTTGAGCCACTTCTGTCCAAATTTGTCATACATTTGAAATGAATGTTCAGAAAATTTAAATGTTAATCAATGTGCATTTCCATCCACTACTGTATTTGCGATGCTCTGTCTCGCTCTAATTCGCTATCTATGTACTGTAGCTCGACCACAACTGTCTCTCTCTCTCGCTCAAACAAACACAAACCAAAGGAAGCATCATCATATCGTTATTTTGCATGGACAGCAAGCCAGACACAGACATTGAAGCTGGGTTTGGTCAATAAACTGCTTGGTTAGCGTCTGTTTGGGGAACATTTCAGGCTGACTGTGGAGTAGTTTGGTCGGTCTGATTGACAGACCGGCCAGCG